GATTCCTTTCAGCATTCTGGTTCATTGTGTGGTAAGTCACAATTTTTAAGCAATTAAACATTTTATTAAAATTTTGAGCAACTCCAAACATAGAATCTTTTGAAAAGGTATAATTTGTTCTTAGCAACATCTAACCTTGATGTTTCTAATGACATTTTTCAGGAAAACATCTTTCAAAAGACTTAGCTAATAGTCTTTTAAAAGATCTGCATTTTTTGTGGGTGTTTTGTTCTAATGCATATTTTTTGAGGAATTTACTTCTAAGCATGGAAAACTGTCTAACTGGACTTCAATCTAGGGCTCTGAGGAGTAAAGCTTCTAAACGAGTGTTTTCAGGCTGCATTTGTTAAAGCAGAGCAAATATCACATGGCATCATTCCCAAGATGTTACCCATAGATGCTTGGCATTATTGTACAGGGTACTCACATCCTCCCAGTTAGTGGGGAGCAGGCTTTTTTACTCTTGTTCCAAATGAATAACAGCTACAAGTTGAATTGGGCTTTGAGAACTCCGGGTAGTTTGAGCTTGAGGCCCTTCAAAATTGTTCTTAGAAATCTGTTCACCTTCTTTCTCTGGGAAAATGGGAGATTTTTGGAAAACCATTTGCTCTGTAAACCTTCCCCAAAATCACAATTTAAAAATAAATAAAATGAATCACAGGCAATCCTCCCACCCCTAAAAGAAAAAATGTGTTCATTTTAGAGATGAAGAAATCTGACCTGTGCTTCCAGACTCGTATTCTAAGATGCTATCACTGTGGCCTCGTACAGGCCTAAATCATTAGTTCACAGGTGGAGATTTAATAAGAGAAGTACTGTTGTTACCTCGCTCTTCCATAGTAGGAATGAGTTAGCTGTTAAAAACCTAAGTCCAGCTAACTCTAATGACAAGAGCTTTTTGTAATGCCTTCTGCTGCTGTTCTTTTCCCATAGGCTTCTCTTGCCTGTGGGCCCTCTTCCTCAGAGTGAGGAGCATGAGTGAGGAGAGGGAATCTCCAGGTAGCACTCACCCCTGCTAAAACAAAGCTTTTTAAAGGTGACATGTTGAAGCTTTGACAGATGAAGATATGTCTCTGGATGAAATGCCATCCATTATGATTGATCTTACTTGAGCCTACTTTGTTTACAGTGAGAGTTGTGCTTGTGGACTGTGAGGCATGATTCTTGATTTCAGGGCAAGGACATGAGGAAGGGTGGTGCCTTCTTTCTGGCCACAGATTATGTTCATGGCAGCCAGACTAGAGTCTGAGGCTTTGATTCTTGGGTTTGGCTTTCTGCCTTGCCCTTTGTCACACCTGTTATGATTCAGCCATTGGCATGGATGGGGCAATCATGGCCACATGTGTTCAGCCATCTGGAGATGATGCAGAATGTGAGGCCCACTTCCTCCACTAGAATCCTTCCCATCAGAGTTGTGGACCACAGCAGCTGTGAAAATTGCTGAGAAGAGTAAGAGGGTAGGGCAGGCTGGGGCGTGAGGTTGGTGCTGAGTGAGACACTGAGTACAGCCAACCTTAAGCTTCCCTGCCAGTTACCCCTTTAACTGGTGGGCCCAGGATCTGGTACCCGGTCTGACCACCCAACAGGAAATGCCCTGTTGTGTTCCTGCCCATAGAGGACGAAATCTCTGAAAATTAGCACTTACACCTGCCTGTTCCTGATATTAATGTGAAAAAATACATTTATTTGGAGTGCAGACACTTAAGACGGGCAGACTTTCTTGCTTAAGTAATTTATTTTCATGTATTGAACTTGATAATCACTTTCCCACTTTCTGTAACTAAGTTTTTCATTTAATGTTGTTGCTGTTATGTGCCGGTGAGTCTGACCCGATTCATAGCGACCCCTCCTTGGGTTTCCGAGGCAGTATCACTATGGAAGTAGATTGCCCAACCTTCCTTCTGAGGAGTGGCTGGTGGGCTTGAACCGCCAGCCTTCTGGTTAGCAGTCAAGTGCCTTAGGCACTACGCTAGCATCCTATAAGCAATGGGAGCTTATTAGCTGAATTAGATTGTATGAATGATCTTTATTCTTCCAATTCTTTCTAGGATAAGAAACTGGATAAGCAGTATGAATCCCTGTCTCTATTTCACCCCAGTGTAAGTATACCAGCTGAAAGAAAAAAATTCAGTTGCACTTTGAGATCGTCTTAAGCAAAATAAATTATTCACTTAGATCTTCAGCTGAGCCTCCTTTTGCTGGTGGTAGGTCACAGTGCAGGAGGAAGGTAAACCATATTAAGGTAAAATCTCTTGACGGCAGCAACAATGCACTTTTAGTTGCACAGGTGGAGATTTAATAAGAGAAGTGTTGTTACCTCGCTTTTCCATAGTAGGAATGATTTAACTATTTAAACCCGCACCCCCCCCCCAAAAAAAAACCCCTCTGCCGTCAAGTCTTACCCAACTCATAGCGGCCCCTCCTTGGGTTTCCAAGGTGGTATCACTATGGAAGTAGATTGCCCAACCTTCCTTCCGAGGAATGGCTGGTGGGTTTAAACCACCAGCCTTCTGGTTAGCACTCAGGTGCCTTAGGCACGATGCTACCAGTAGCTGTTTAGTACTGATTAATATTTTGAGATATTTTCTTGTCTTGGAATCTTGCTTGGTTTGTTTCTTAGGAGTTCCTTTTGGGTCCTCAGAATGGTAAACTGACAGATACTTGAAAGCTCTTTTGAGTCACTTCTCTGGCTGAGTGAGCTCTCAATCTAGTGTTTTCCTTAGCATGAGGTTCACAGAGTGAACAGCATAAAACCAATTTGGGTGGGTATGGCTAGAACTGTGAACTTTGATTCTTCTTCTATTATTAACTAAACCCATGCCTTTTCAGAATGTTGAAATGCTAAGTAGCATGGATTCAGCCTCAGTTCGCATTATTAAACCATTTCCTGCGCCCCAAACTCCCGGCCGCCTCCAGCCCCTGCAGTCTGCCCCAGTTATGCCCCCTGTGCCGGTGGCTCCGAAACTGGACCATCAGAGGATGGACACCATCCAAGAAGACCCCAGCACCGACTCCCACATTGATGAAGATGCATTTGAGAAGGATCCTTTCCCAAACAGTACAGCTGCAAAGTCTTTTGAAGACCTCACAGACCATCCCGTCACAAGAAGTGAGAAGGCATCCTCCTTTAAATTACAGCGTCAGAATCGTGTTGACAGCAAAGAAACAGAGTGCTAGTTTAGGGATTTACTTTCTAACCCCTTTGATCTAAGTGTGCAAAGTATTTTTATAGATTTGATGTAAAATCACTGCATATATTTTTTGAAGATTTGTGAGACATAAGGAAGTGACTTAACAGCAGATGCAGGTCATGTGTTTGAACTTCCTTCACGTAAATAATACTGTGTGGTTAGGTCTTGTTTCCTTTTAAAGAGGTAAAGTGAATCTAGTTTATTTTGAGCCTTTCAGGTTTTAGTTTTTTGATCTTTAAAATATCCTTCAACCTGTGGTGCAAAAATAGAAAATAACAGCTGGATTAGGTTATGAATATTTACATTTTTGTAAATTAACCTTTTTTATTGGTAACAGCACTGATTAGGGGGATGATTAGTTTTTTCTTTTTTATACACTGTAATAATGATCCGCTGAATATGAGGTATTTAGCAGTTATTTGTGAAGACAACTGGAACACAGAATAAACTTATTTATTTTTTTGCCTTCAAGTAAAGACAAAGGAGATGAAATCTAATTATAAATTATCTCCAAAATATGGGTTCTGTTTCTGGGTTTTACCCAGAGTTTTCACCAGCAGGGAGAACTACACATCTAAATTTAGAAATAATTTGGATCAGTATGTCTGTCTCTTCATAATTGTTAGTATCTTCTAGAATTAAAACAATCTAGCTTACAGTGAACACTACAGATACTGTAAGGTAGTTGTACAGAATCTTGTTTAGGGCTCTAATTTGCTAGGCATTTTTTTGTGTTTTTTAAGTATCTTTATGTATCCCTAATACTTTGGCCATGCTCTTAAAAAAAATTCAGCAGCTACTTTAAAATAAGACAGAGTATGGTTGCCTATTATTTTCAAACTAGTGGCTGAGAGAGAAATATATCTCGAAGAACAGGGGTGGTCTGGGTAGTTCAGATGTGCTACGTGTGTGTGTGTGTGTGTGCACACACGTGTGTAGGAGGGGAGGCTGCCTTCCTGTGTGGCTGGGGCTTATCCTACAGCAGCTGATACTTTACACACCCTTTTGATTGACCTTTAAGTGGATATATGCATTACTACTTGTTTTAGTGCTTCAGGATTCTGGATGGTCTGCATTTACTGTGTGGATAAAAATCATCAGATTGAATTTTGATTTCCGTAAAATTACAATTAAATTTTTTTTTTTCCTTAAATTAAGTACTGAAATGTGCTCAGAAGCTAACACATTTTAACTGAGTAACTTGTAAACTTTGGGGGCAATTAACCAAACCTGTGACAAATCATGTCTATTATTTTTTTTCCTAAGGATGTTTGTTACGTGGATACTTGTTACACTAATACTTGAATTTGTACCTTATGGTATTTGCTATCTTTTAACTATGCACAATATTCTTATATTATTTTAGTTATACTTTTGGAATTTGATATAAGGTGAGTGGGGTGTGTGGGTGTATGTATGCAAGTGATACAATTCCTAGCAGAATGTAAGAAACCCATTTTTTTTTTATAAAATTGTCTTTTAAAAAAAACAAAACTGTCTACCTTTTTGCCATTTATAGAATTAACCAGCTGCTCAGGGTATATTCTGTAGCAGTGACACTGATGATACCTGCATCAATCAATCAGTCAATATTTAATAACATCAAAACACTGTACCCACACACAAAGCTTCCCTGAAAAATTCCAGTGCTTTTATTAATATTGGTGGCAAATGTGTTTTTTTTTGGCACAGGGTCATAAACAAAAATTTAAGCTTGAGAAAAAAGTGTCTTCTGATTGATCTTAGAATGTTTGTGTCCTCACAACTTCATATTCTGTAAAGTAACAACCAAACTTGAGTTTTCGGTGACTAATGGTCCCCATCTCCCAGAAGGCTTAGTTCAGGTTTTGCTTCTACTACATCCCGCCAGTAAGGAAGAAGCAAAGGCAGGGAAGAGGTCTTCTTCTCCAGCAAAGGCCAAAGGTGTGAGAACAGATATTCATTTCCCTTTGGCGATAAATGTAGTCCATCTGATAAATAGGATGAGAAATCCTGTAAGGGAGAGAGAACCAAGCTAAAAGTGTCTGATTTTTTTAAAATGCCAGTATACTACGTTGTGCTCCAGCCTAAGAGTCAATCAGACCCTTTTGTTTTCAGGCATCTGCCCAGAAGACTTCTTGAATTGCAGTATATGCTGTCTCACTGAACCCTCACAAAACCCTTAGAAGTGATCCAATACTATCTCTTACAGAACTGAGGTTCATAAAATCACATACCATAAGTGTCTGAGCTGGGACATCATTCTAGGTCTTCTGAATGATACAACATGGTAATCAGGTTAGTTATCAGCTGAAAGAAGAGGCTTAACAAGTAAATACTGCCCATTAATGTAAACAAGGAAAGTGAGTAAGTTGTTACTAAGAACTTGGGTCAATGTTATTTTTTATTTTCTTTTTGTCTAGGTATTAAATTGACATACAAGTTACTAGGTAGAAAGAACATGTACCATCCAGCCTAGAACAGTAAGTGCTGGAATAAGAGTCCAGTCCCCCGACCCACACATACCGATTTTGAGCTTTAGAATGTATTTACCATTACAGCCATTTCTCCTTTGGGGGAAAACTTTTTTCCAGGGGCTAGTGCCCCCACTGTCCTATAACAACTCAGGGTGTTGAATTAGATAGCTTTTCTACACTAAGTATTTAGAGTCTAACAGCACTCCTCCCTAGGCCTTAGTTTTCTCATCTATATAATTTTAGATTAGTTATCTCTAAGGAAGACCCTCTGAATTCTAGAGTCTTAGTGTTAAATCTAGAAGGACCTATTAGGAAATTAACTAGTTCAGTAGTTTGCAATTTCCCTTTCTCTAGCAACATCTTTTTTCCAAACCATCTATGGTGGTTACATTTCTGTGTCAACTTGGCTGGGCCTGGTTGAGTGCTTGGGCAATTGCAGTATTCCCCATGATAAGACTGGTAATCAACTCCATGGTGGAATCTACTGGGAGCAGCTGAGTAGCTGCCTTTGGGTATGTGGTCTGCTTCCCATATATAAGAAACAGCTTTGGGAATGGTCTCTAGCTTATGGCATGCTTGAACCCCGCATGTAGCTAGCTGTGTGTTGTTCAGCAGCCTGCCATGCTCTGCCGACCTTGGGACTTTCAATGGACTTGAATTCATGGCCTGCCATGTGGTTTGGTAACATTGGGACTGTGCCATTTTATTTGTCGACCTTGGGCTTGTTAGCCTCAGCAGCCAGTAGCTGCCTGAGTGAAGAAAAGCCTCTAGCTTCAGTGGGCCAGGAGCAAGAGGCAGAGCTGAAGCCCAAGGTCGAGGAGCTTTCACACAGCCACCTAAGTTCAAAGTTCAGCACTTTGAACTTGGACTTCTAGCCTACAAACTGTAAGAGAATAAACTCATTTGTTCAAGGCATCCCATTTGTGGTATATTCTTGTCAGAGTGGCACTAGGTAACCAGAACACCAGTTTTGGTGGAACCTTAACACAAAAACAACCTGAATGGTGTCTCAAGCTGCTGAGACCCCTCTGGACCTGGGAATCCACTTAACTCTAGTGGTTCAACTCTAATCAAGATTTTAGAGGACAACTGGAGGTGTACAGCTTAGTGATTTATTTGGGTGCAGAGCTGGTGGTAGAGCCAGAGCCAAAGCCAGGTGCTCCCAGTTCTTTGCACGAGCTCTTAGGGAGGCAAAGAGCCTTGGGAATGGGAAGAGAACAAGTCTCAGAAAATGACTGGCTACTCTGTTCCCAGGGGTAGTGTGATTTTCTTACAGATTGCAATTTTTCCCTTTATATTCAGAAAGTGTATAAATACTAGAAATAGTTGGGTCCTTTGAAGGATGGGTAATTTGTTTCAAAAAATGGGATTTGTTAAGATTGAGGGGAGAGGAAAGAGTTGTCACCTGCTCTGTGGTTCTTGACTATTCTTTCTGCCTGCCTTTATCCATGGTTATTGGCAAAGTGAAAGAGTGACCTGCAGTGGGGCTGTGATTCTTCCCTTTTCTGCAAAGAGCTTCCTACACAAACTATCATCTATTCCTTCCACCTGGGCAACTTCAAATAACATTCTTCCCCATCAATCAGTTTTCTCTCTAGGTCTCAGAAGAGCACTTAAATCGTCTTTTAAGTGCCCTGCAGAACAGACCCTTTTCTAAAGAGTGAAAAGTAGTAGAAAAGGGGGGATGGGGGGAGACCCTGTGTCTGATTCACCCCTCCTCCTCCCATGCTGTACATAAATATTTATGTGGACTGTGAACATTTATGTAAATTAGCTATTATGAAAGGAACCACCTTTTAATTTTTTATAAAAGAATTAACACACAATAAAACTCACTTTTAGTTGTGTACAATTGTATGAAATTTAGCACATGTATAGATCCTTGTAACCAGAATCAGGACACACTATGGTTTTCCATCCCTTCTGCATACCATCCTTTCAGGCACACTCCACACTCTCCCGTACCCCTCATCCCTGGCCTCCACTGATCTTTCTGTCACTATAGTTTTGTCTTTTTGAGATACAGATGGAATCATTTTGTATGCAGCCTCTTAAGAATAGCTTCACTCAGTATGGTGCCTGTGAGATTCATCCAAATTGCTTGTATCAATACTTGGTTTCTTTATTGCTGAGTCATACGTCATTCTCTGCTTGTATCAGTTTGTTTATCCATTCACCCAGTGAAGGACATTTTTGTTGTTTCTGGTTTTTGACAATTTTGACTGCTGCTGCTATAAACAGCTGTATGCTCTTTGTCAACATCAGTTTTCATTTCTCTAGGGTAAATAACCAGGAATGGAAATGCTTTTCATATAAGTAAGTATATGCTTATAAGAAACTGCCTAACTTTCCCCCACTCCATGTATAAAAGAACTTTATATGTGTTTGGATGTTCTTACATGTGAACCATCTGTTGCTCATTTATTTCACTACATAATAACTTCTAACTATAAAATGAGTTCCCACGGTATGATGCAAACTGCTGAAAGAGGCTAAATAAGGAACTGGGTGTGACAGCAGTCCTGCGACCTCTCCATCCTGCCTCCAACTTTTGTGTGTTAAGTAGTGAAGGATTGCCATTTTACAATCTTAGTTCTAGGAAAGCTGCACAAACCAGGGTGACTTCTTTGTGATCCTGCTCACCCTGTAACTGAGCAGTTAACTGACTGTACCTGATTATCCTTCTGCATCAGGGTCCACAGGTCAAGTACATCAGTCCCACAGTCTCGGGCTACTTGTAAACAAGCATTGGCATATTCACCAACAACCAAGTTCAGGCGATTTAATTTGCAACCTATTGAAGGAGAGAGGAAATCCAAGTGGCACTAGGCAAACCCAAGCACTGGTCCTTGTGCTACCTGTACTGACCTGGATGGTTTCCAAGTTCTGTTAAACTGGTACTCACTGACACCACTCTGACATTACCAAACCAAAACTAAACCCACTGCCACTGAGTCAATTCTGACTTGAGGAAAAACACAAACTTTTATCAGCTGGATAAAAGGGATTAGGGAAAATTACTTAAGATGACACATTTCATTTCATGTCTGAGAGAGAAAAAGAATAAACTCATCCTTTTTTTTGATTCATACATTATAACTATCTGTGAAATTCACCTAGATTATAATCAGCTTACACTTCTAGCCTAGTGGAGCTTCCCACCTGGCTTTTGCTCATCTCTCACTCTTTTTAATCTTTACTAGATCACATTCAAGGGAAGAAAGAGGAAATGAGATTCAAATTTCATAATGTCATACATTCTCTTGAGAATATATACTATTTGATCTGGGAAACAATACATGGAAGTTTAAACAGCTTCTGTTGCTCATGACATGAGATGTTAAGAATATATCATCCAAGTCATAATTAGGGCTAGAAGGCCAGAAGAAACCTGGGGAGTCAGGGAGCCACTTTAGACAACTTTCAACCATGCTTCCTGGGCCCGGGTGGGCCCTCACAGAGCCACTGTGGTGTCTGCCCTGTGTGCAGCAGGATCCCTCCCTCTGACCTGCCAAGATCCCAGTGTTCACAGTCACTGCACACAGGCTTCACTTTTCCTCTCATGTCACAGTTAATACTGTACTCATTGTACCTTCCGTGCGTGATACCTCTTGACATAAGTTTATTACTTGAGAATGTTACTTGAGACTGTGTTGGCTTCCCACCAAGGACTACAGACCCTTTATCCATCTGAAAGAGGCAGTGTTGTATAACAGTACATACTTGAGCTCTGAAGTTGGACTACCTGGACTTGATTCACTGCTGGGTGATCCTGGGCAAGTTAACTTTGCTAAGACTCTATTTCTCCATCTTTAAAATGGGGACTGTCATAGTCTTCACATAAAATTGTGGTGTGGATAAGAAACACAGTGGAGAAAAACAAACAAAATGGAGCCAGAAATCTACCTAAAAATAGCTAACATTGAGTCAGACTGTGCTTTGAGAAACAGCTGCCCTGCCATACAAAGTCATTACTTTGTCCTAGAATACCCTTTTTTTTTTTCATAAGTTCAGATTGCTTTTTATGCCAAATTCCATAATGTACTGTTTTAGCAATTCAGGTATATGTCAGTATAAGAAAACTACTAACCTCAAATTACATAATAGTGTCTTCATTTGGGAGGGGAGAGAAATTTTACCACTATACTTTCTCTCCAAATGCCAAAAAAAGGGGTAGAAAAGAGAAGAATCTGAATACAAGCACTGTCCCTGGAGAGCTCATCGAGGAAGCTACAGACTGGTATGACTGGGTTGATGTCTTACAATTCGAGACAAACAGCCAACCTCTAAATTGGCTGTGGCTAAGAGTGTAACTGTACTAAGACTATGTTGCCATGAAGATGTAACAGGTGACTTACCTAAAAATACCTTTCAAAAAAATCTAACACCGGGTGAAATGCATCATTTGGCAAAGTTGGAAGAAATAAAGACTTGGTGTCTTTGAATTTGCTTCTAATTGAATTTGCTTTGTCTTTTTTTCCATTTGCCTTTGTACAAGGATTAATGCAGAACAAAAAGGAAAGTTTCAGGTTATGTTAAAAGGGAATTGGCTCTAGCCTAGAAAAGAGTTCCTTGGTAAACCTTGGCACCCAGCAGGGGTATTACTACATTAATAAGATATAAGTAGTATATTACTTATATTACATTAATAAGATATAAGTAATATATTACTACATTAATAAGATACATTAATAAGATATAACACTTGATTGTGCTCATGAGGAACTTGTACATTGACCAGGAAGCTGTTGTTCGAACAGAACAAGGGGACACTTCACAGTTTAAAATCAAGAAGGGAGTGCGTCAGGGTTCTGTGCTTTCTCCATACTTACTCAATCTGTATGCCGAGGAGATAATCCGAGAAGCTGGACTATATGAAGAAGAACGTGGCATCAAGACTGGAGGAAAAATCATTAACAACGCTGACGACACAACTTTGCTCGCTGAAAGTGAGGATGACTTGAGGTACTTACTGAGGAAGACTGAAGACTATGGTCTGCAGTATGGATTACATCTCAACATAAAACAAGAATCCTCACAACTGGACCTATAAGCAGCATCATGATAATTGGAGAAAAGATTGAAGCGTCAAAGACTTCACATTGCTTGGTTCTCCAATCGATGCCAATGGAAGCAGCAGTCAAGACATTAGACAACGTATAGCACTGGGCAGATTGGCTGCAAAGGACCTCTTTCAAGTGCTGAGGAGCAAGGATATCTCCTTGAGGACTAAGGTGCGCCTGACACAAGCCGTGATATTTTCAGTTACCTCGTACTGCAAGTGAGAGCTGGACAATGAATAAGGAAGACTGAAGAATTGATGCTTTTGAGTTGTGGTGCTGGCAAAGAATGCTGAAAGTACCATGGACTGCTAAAAGAACTAACAGATCTGTCCTGGAAGAAGTGCAGCTGGAATGTGCCTTGGAAGCGAGAATGGCCAGACTTCATCTCACCTACTTTGGTCATGTTGTCAGAAGGGACCATTCCCTAGAGAAGGATGTCATGCTTGCTAAGGTGGAGGGTCGGCAAAAGAAAGGAAGGACCTCAATGAGATGGACTGACACGGTGGCTACAATGATGGGCTTAAGTACAGCAAGGATCATGGAGCTGGCATGGGACTGGGAGGTGTTTCGTTCTCCTGTGCTTAGGGTCGCTATGAGTCGGACACAACTCAACAGCACGTAACAACAACTAACAAGAACAACAAATATAAGTAAATGCCACCTAACACCAAGTACCACTGCAGGACAAAGAAACTGATTCTCAAGGAATACAGTTATAGCTTTCAAACATACTAGAAATTACTGCTAATACCAATGCCTTACAAACTAAAACTGATGGAAATTTGTGTAGACAGACAAACGCTCAGGTGTATGCCAATTTGCTGAGGTAAATGCTTGTAAGAAACAGAACTTGGGATGTAAAGCCAAGTTAGAAAAACAATGACTGGGTATGACACAAAGCCACTGCCATTGAGTTGATTCCTACTCAGTGACTCTATAGAACAGAGTAGAATTGTCCCACAGGGTTTTCAAGGCTGTAATCTTTATGGAAGCAGACTGCCTCATCTTTCTCCCACAGAACAGCTAGTGGGTTTGAACCACTGATCTTTTGGTTAATAACCGCTTTAACCATTACGTCACCAGAGCTTCTTTGACAGCTGATTGATTATATGTGTGCCAAAGGGCAGGCAACCCCCCCCCCATTTTTATTTTATTAGAAGAAAATTGCTTTTTAGATAATAAAAACAATGACATAGAAGACATGCCCACTAGCTCAATTTTTAGATTGCAGTTTTATAAGCAGTGTTTCAGAGAGGATCTCAGAGGAATGAGAATCAGAATTTAGAGCTGGAAGGGATCTCGGAGGTCATTTATTCTAGCTCAAGCACTGACAAACTTTGTGTAAAGGGCCAGACAGTAAATACTCTAGGTTTGTGGACTAAATGGTCTCTGTTGGAACTACATGTAATATTTTGTAAATCAAGTTTTACTGGATGTTTCCTAACTCCTAGTCTAATGCAGTCATTTTCAAACATTAAGTGTACATAAGAATCACCAAGATGACTTCATAGAAAACAGTATGCTGGGCTGTGCCCCTAAAGGTCAAGTTCTGGAAGTCCAAGAATTTGCATTTCCGCCAAGTTCCCAGGTGATACTGCTGCTGATATGGAAACATGCAAGAATTGTGGTCGATGGCTCATAAACCTTGTTGATTAAACCAAAGTAGTAAGATTTTCACCAGGACCCAATATACACACCCTTACGTAAGCAAAACACATTTTACAAAACACTGCTACTGTGTTCAAGGTACTCATTTTTTCCTACTGCATTCTGTTTTTTGGAGTCGATTCACACTCAAAGCAACCCTGTAAGAATAGAACTACTCATGGTGTTTCCAAAGCTGTAAATCTTTAGGAAGCAGAATGCCACATTCTTTCTTCTGCAGAGCAAGCTGGTGGGTTCAAATTGCCAAACTCTCAGCAGTCATTGTGCCACCAGGACTCCAAAGGTGATTACTATTCTTTATCGTGAACTGAAATCTGCTTTGATGACGTATACTAGTGGATCCTAGTTTTGCCCTTTGGTACTAACAAGAGTTTATTTAATTCTTTCCATTAAAGAGCCTTTCAAACATCTGATGACAGCTAGTATAACTCCCTCTTCCCTATACAGTCTCTTCTCCGTGGTAAACATTCCCTATTTACTTCCTTTAGGGAGCTTTCTTTGACATCTCTAGTATCTTCTTTGGTATTTTCAGTAAACTTGGTATCTATTATATCATTTATCACTGTGTAAATATCTATTTATTGACTATCTCCCCCCCTCAAAAAAAAACCCAAAGTCAGTTCCAACTCATAGTGTTCTCTATCGGGTTTACAAGGCTGTAAATCTACATGGAAGTAGATTGCCTCATCTTTCTCCTGCACAGCAGCTGGTGGATTTAACCTCAAACCTTCTGGTTAGTAGCCAAATGCCTTAACCACTACACCACCAGAGCTCCTTACCTATTGACTGTCGGTATCTCAGTATCTATTATCTATTAACTAGCTTCCATACTAGTCCCAAAAGGCAGGCCCTGTGTTCCAGTCATGTCTATATCCCCAGCACCTGGCCCAGGTCTTGGCATAACATGTCAAGTTGAATCTGTATTCTGTAGGGGTAAAAGTAAAGTGCTGTCGGTGGTAGCAAGGCAGAAAACTGGTTGTTGGTGTGCCAAAGAAATGCATTAAATTGCTAAATTATAAGTTACATGAAGTTTCCTTGTACCTGAGTAAATTTTGTCAGTAAGACTGCAGGAGAGCCTTCATTTTGAGGGAAAAGGAAGGTTCCACTACTGAAGTATGGTATGAGAGGCTAAGCAAAGTGGAAGCAAGAGGACCTTCTCCCCAGCCATATTCAGATGGCTGCAGGCGCATCCTATTGCTGTGAACTCAGGAAAAACACCCAAAATGTGGACTTGGCTTCAGCACCACCTGGAGAACAGTAGCTTATCTTACTCTTCCACAGACACACATGCCTCTCTACAATCAGGTCCACAGTTTTCAGTCGGCTTCATGTGAAACTTTGGAGTTTGGCAAATATGAAGGTGAGCAACTTACAAGTACCAGACTAGTAGTTCTCTGCTAACCAAAAATGAGAATCCCTTTTCTACATAAAAATCTTCTCAGATACAATATAATGAGAGATAACACATTTTTCTGTTCGTTTTTACTTCTGTTGACTGAAAAACAAAAACTGATACAAATTTACACACTCCTAGGAGGAGCCCTTGTGGCACAATGGTTAAATACTCTGCTGCTAACTTGACTGCTCACCAGAAGGCTGGCGGTTCAAACCCACCAGCCACTCCTCGGAAGGAAGGTTGGGCAATCCTACTTCTGTAGTGATACTGCCTCGGAAACCCAAGGAGGGGTCGCTATGAGTCAGGGCCGAATCGACGGCACATAACAACAACAATAACTTTAGGTTGGCGGTTCAAACCCACCAGACACTGTTCAAATATGTGCCAGTCTGTTCCTGTAAGATTTATAACCTTGGAAGCTTTAAGGGGCAGTTCTACACTATCTTATAGAGTCATTAGGAATCAGAAGCAACTCCACAGCAATGGACTGGATTGGGTTAGGGGCAGCCTGGATGGTGGTACTGATTAAGTGCCCAGCTGCTAACTGAAAGGTCAGCAGTTTGAACCCATGAGATATAAGAAAGAAAACTGTCTACTTCCAAAAATTAGCCAATGAAACCCTAAGTATCACAACTAATGAAAAAGGAAGTCAGAAGAATTGATGTGTTCAACATCAACTGTGTCTTGGTCCAGAGTACTGAACCAAGACTCCAGAATTAAAGACTGCTGGAATAACAAACAAACCAATGTTAGAAGAAATACGACCTCCCCCCCCAAAATGGAAGACAGTGAGACTTCAACTTGCTTATTTTGGACACAACATTAGGAAAGATTAATAGCTAGAAAAGGACATGGATGGTAAAGAAGAGGGCCAACGAAAACACAGGACACCCTCAACGAGACTGACACAAGAGGCAAGACAATGGACTAAAAAATGTCAAAGATCATGAAGATGGTGTGTGACCTCACGTTACACATAAGGCTGCCACGAGTCAGTACTGATTTGCTGGCAACTAACAATAAAAACCCAAGGCCCACAGTTCTATCAAAATTATTCTCTGATCACTCACATCCAAGTTTGAAGAGACTGTGGTTTGGTTTTGTTTACCTTGTAGGACGCACTCCTTTTCCCAAGCTGTTTCACAAAGAGGAGGTGGTGTGATGAGAATAACTCTACTCTCAGGGATGTCCACAGACTTCAGGTACTGCACCATGCTCTTTAAATTTGCAACATACTCCTCCAATGGAATGTGCTGCTTTGGATTCTCTTCTGTTCATGAGAAACATGAATACGTCAACCCAAATACATGTTTGTTGGTTTGTTGTAAGCAATAATAATTGAGATTAACTCATTTCCACAAATGTGTGTGACTCACGTGGTCCCTAGGAAACTGTTTAGCACCAAGGACACTGTTCTGGTTACCTAATGCCTCTGTGACAGGAATATACCATAAGTGGGATGCGTGAACAAACAAGAGTTTATTATTCTCCTACAGTTTAGAGGCTAGAAGTCTGAGTTCAAAGTGCCAGGCTCTAGGGGCTGGTTGAAAACCCCTTGACCTTGATCTTGGGCTTCAGCTCTGCCTCTGGCTCCTGGGCCACTGAAGCTAGAGGCATCTCTTCACTCAGGCAGCTACTGGCTGCTGAGGCTAACAAGCCCAAGCTCGACAAATAAAATGACACAGTCCCGATGTTACCAAACCACATGGCAGGCCATGAATTCAAGTCCATTGAAAGTCCCAAGGTTGGCAAAGCATGGCAGGCTGCTGAACAATGACACGGCTACATGCAGGGCTCAAGTGTGCCATAAGTTGGACACCATTCCCAAAGCTGTTTCTTATATACAGGAAGCAGACCACATACCCAAAGCAGCTACTCAGCTGCTCTAATAAATTCCACCATGGAGTTCATTACCAATCTCACCATGAGGAATAACTACATTCAGCTCCCATGCCACTCAACCAGGCCCAGCCAAGTTGAAATAAAACTTAACTATCATAGACACAAAAAAGAGGGAAAGGGATATAAAATATCCAGTGCTTCATAAAACAGACTTTGGAGTATTTGGCTATGGATCTTTGTGTACTCTTGTATTTTCTCCTCTAGTGGCCATGATTTTATAAATCCATTAAGTTGAATTTATTAAAAAAGTAATAACCCTAATCATGGATCAAGACTATCCAGATTCAAGGCTCCGGCAAGATGGTGGACTAGGCAGAAAGACTGCACAGAGCCTCTTCAACAAAGAAAAGGGAAACCAGTTAACACAGACAAAAGATAATCCTGGACCCCTGAGCCTTGAAGGGAAGGATATAGATGTGGACTAAACCCCAACTAGCAGAAGAATTTGTGTGAAAATACCAAAAAAGGAGACACACGGCGCTGCGGTCTGGCAGCAATCCTGAGTGTTCCTGATGGCACAGACATCTTGGAGATTCCCGAGTGGTGGTAGGACCTAAGAATTAACCGAAAAATCGCCATGCTAGCCAGGGACTGCACGGGGAGGACTGTAAACGGTGGCTGGGGAATAAATGGAGAAGGTGAAGAGAAAAGTGGGCTGAGCTGTGCACTTTGCTCGTCCGGAGGGCACCGCCATTTTAAAGGTTTAAAAGTGGCTTGACTATTTTGGATATTTTAAGAGACAGCACTCTCATAGATTCCTGGGGCTTAAGAACACATTCTGCTTTCCAGCAACTCCAAGGTCATTCCAGACCCGCAAGACTGAAAGGTATGACATTCCTCTTGTTACTCTTATACCCCACACCCACTTGATGAACAGAGGTGCGGCCATCCCCCACTACCACCTACCTTCTGGGCGACAGGAACTCCATCACAGTCTGTGTGCTCAGATGGAGCCTAGGTGCCCTGCCCTGTCTTCCACCGATACTTTTTTTTTTCTCTTTTATTTTTAGTTTTTCTTTTTCGCTTTCTTATTTCTGGGGATTACTTTACTTGTATTTGTCTGTTTTAAAACAACAATTATGAATACTTTTGTCCTTGTTATTGTTATTCTTAATTTTCCCCTCCCAGGTCCTAGTTTTCAGCATTTTTTCTTTTCCCTGTTCCTGGTTGAAAATTTTCCCCCCTTTTTTCTCGTAGTTAACCCTGTTCCTTGTTTTCCTTTTTGCATTTTTCCCTCCATTACACTCCTTCTCTACTTTTTTCCTCTTAGGGCTCTATCCCCAGATATTGCAGGTTTCCTTCTTTTATTTTTCTTCTTTTTCTCTTTTTTTGGCAATTGTTCCTGTATGATAGCATGGTGTGTTTTTTGTCCAAGTGCTTTTAGTTTTTGATGGTTATTCAATTGTAATTTGTGTCTAACTGAGTGGGAGACAACAACAGTCCCCATAAGACA